TTCAGCAGTTCTCCGAAATGCACTGGGTTTCAGCTTCTAACCTTTGGTTCTCACTATATGTTTTTCAGATTATGTGAAGCACCATTCTCCTCGATCTACAAGATTTAAAAAATGAGCCTCCTGCTCAATCAAATTTAAAATGATGGCTGGCTAAGCAACAGGCTTATTTGTCCAATCAACCTCTATCTTACAGCTCATCCATCAAGAAAGGCGGATTAACTGGATTAACTTTGCAGTATATCCTGATATAATGAAGACTAATGATTCAAGAGAAGATGGGTTTAAAAACTGCAAGGTTTATACAAATCTCCCTCTCCATCCTTAAAGTAATGATAAGCTTACACGTTCAGCTATCAGGTCTACAGCCAGCCAGAAGAGCAATGAAGAGTCAGGGCATATTTACACCAATGCTTTTGAGGAGGACATCTCAGTTACCGTTTCTGCAGGCTGCTGGAGGCAGGCTGTCGGCACGACTGCCTTCTGCAACCAACCACCTCTTCACCAGCACCAATTCTGCTCTTCCAGAAGACCAGCCACTGTTAAAGTCATTAGGACCAAACATTTCCAGATCGATTCATCTAGACAATTTATGTACAACTTGAACAAAGCATTAAACATTAACAGTAAAGCCTGCTGGATATAAAAACCACCTTGCTATTTCAGAATATTCCTTCAACTTCAGGCACAATTATCAAAGAAACACCGACATAATTAAAAAGATGAGCTTTATTACAAATCTAAAGCATGCTTAATATCACTGATGAAAAGTTTTAATGTATTTGGCACTGTGCTGTAACAAAATCATTGTTTTATACTTCAGATTGATGAGATATTTATTTTTAAAGTTTACTATATAACCATCTGCATATTAATAAAAACAGTACTAGCTTAGAAAATTACGTTTTCTACAATTTCTTACAGCTGTGCTCCTAAAATCCAGCATAAACCATCAGCAGAAACTATCCAAATTACTGCAGAACAAGTTTCTTATTCTAATTGCTGCATTCAGCTGCAAAACAGCTTCTATTACAATACTGTGGCTTTTTATGTGAATGTGAGAATCTTCCTTTTTAAGGTGAATTTGGGGAAAGCTGTGTGTAAAAAATATGGTAGTTTCAGTTTTAATCAGGATTATCAGATATAAACTGTGATGTTGCCAAGATAAATGGGACAAGAACTTATAAGACTTGTTCTAAAACAAATAGTTTGCACGCTCACACTGCTTCCAGGTATTAGTGAAACGTTTCATCAACTAAACTGCCACAACACAAAAGTACTTCTAGAAATTGCTGGCAAAATAGCAAGAGACATTGAATTGTTAGAATGAAGTTCAGTGATCTGATGGACAGTGAATATACCGACAGAAATAATTCATTTCCCATCATGTCAACAAGCTGATCCCACTCCCTTCATGATTTCACGATCACTGGGTTGAGCACCAGGGGAAGGAAATAGAGCACTGGGACCAGGGCCGGGGACCACACGCTATTCTCCGTAGCGGCCCATACTGGGATTGTGTGAATTAACTCCGAAACCACACTTTCAATCTCAATTTCTTTCTAATGCATTTCCATCCGTACATCCGGCAAACCCTTCCAGGTTAGCCATGTGAATGGAAAATGGATCACAGCGCTTGTGTGACACCTAGTTCAGGGATTGCTCACCCTCGCTTTAAGAGCCCTGCCTCAGCGGTGAGAACGAGGACATTCTCCATATTGTGAACCCCAACAACCCACTCCGTTGAACTGTACCCGTGATCATTAACACACCATGCTACCTTGAAGGGCAGCTTGAGACAAAGTGAGACTGGCTGAAGAAATCTATTCTCGAGTTGACCCATACCATCTTCCTTGATTAGCAACAGAACGGAATCAGAATTCTCGTTGTGTTTAACTGCAGCTGGCAAATCATCAGCTCTTCCATGACAGTAAAAAACATTTCCCAGAAATTAAATGGAAATGTTCAAATACAGCTTAGATAATAACTGACCAAGAAAACATCTTCATAAAAAGCACCCTCAAATTCAGTCTCCCACTATATAAATAGGATGACATATAAAAGAGATATAAATAGTGTAGTGAAACTTGTTTTTACTGTTAGAAATAACCTTTTTTGGCCTCAGTCCTGACCAAAAAAAAGTTATGTTATCAATTTACTGTGCTGCCCTTTCAACTGCAGATTCACATATATTATATTACACTGAAAAGAAGTTAGTCTTGTTAATTCTCCATCCTTACGTTCTGCTTGAAAGGATAAACAACTAGTAAAGGTTGTAACCTCAGACTCTGTTCAGCCAGTACAGGAACATCTTAATTACCTTTCATTTTAGATGTGCCTTCTGGTCTAAATTATGTACATACTTAAGACTAGCAATAACCATCTGTTTGCCAGTGATTCTAAACAAAAAAGATTATATAAATAAAGGATCATTTACATTCACATATATTTAAATGTAGTTGGACTTACAGCAAGGAAAAAGAAAAACTGGAGGGGAAAAAAGGAAAAACGAAGTACCCAAGTGTTTCACTTCCACTGCCTTCCCTGTCCAGATCCTAAATCCCATTTATTTTAGTATCAAAATCAAATTGAGTTGACCCTCAGTCTCAAAACATAGCTATCTACATGCTGTGTCACAGCTGCCCTGTAAAAGTTTTAGATGGGAATCCAAAGGTTTTGACAAAGAAACATTAGAAAATTTGAGCATGAAATATTCAAGAATGTGATCTGGCTTTAGCAAAAGATGCTTCTGTCACAAAGTGAAAACACTTCTTCCCCTTTCACATGTGGAAGGAAATTATTCTGCGATAAGGATAAACACTTAAGTTTCCCACATTTCAATCCC